CAATCGCCACTTCAAAACAATTTGAAGCCACTAAAAACTGCGCTCGTAGAGTCATATTTTACCTTTCTTCACAGTGACAAGTGTCCAATATTGTTTCTTTATTTAGCCTTAAAGTAAGGGGGAAAAAAATGTACTTGCTTTTCGATGGCACATGATGAACACATTTTTTTTTTCTTTTCCCAGTGTCTGGGAGGTGAGTCTTTTCACATGAGTGCGAAACAGCTGACTCTGGAGCATACTTTCCGTTCTTGCTTCTTTTCTTGATGGCTTGCTGGCATGTGGTTTGTCTGACCTTTCGGTCAAAAGGGAACATTTTGTGTCAATGTTACAGTACGGGCCCACCCTGCAGACACCACAGGCGCAAAAGACGTTATTGAGCCAGGTCAGAAGAGTGCGCATCACTTTTCCTACATGCGACTACTGAAGTAGAAGAGTTTTCGTGCGTGTGTGTGCGTGTGTGTGTGTGTGTGTGTGTGTGTGTGTGTGTGTGTGTGTGTGTGTGTGCGTGCGTGCGTGCGTGTGTTGTGTGTGGTATGGCATTTAATATGCATTATATTCTAATGCAATAGACTTAGACCTTGGCAAAATGTTTGGATAAAACCGCTTGTTGCATTCCAAAAATGAAATAAATGACACAGTAGAGGTTAGACTCTAAAATAAAATTTCTAATTCCACCGCTAATTGAATCACAACTAATCTCATTGGTACCAAACAAGTTTGAGCAGTGCAGGTTTGGCATCCGGCTAGTAATGAGCTGCCTCGACGACCCTGTAAAATTAAAAGCCGGCGGCCGTGCACATATTAATGTTTTAAATCAGAAGGGAGAGAAGGGATACAATCCGTAGCCTGGCTCGCACAATAACACTGTGACACACAGCACATTTCAGAGTTCATGGGAATTCAATCATTTCCCTTAATTTTAAAAAAAATATATTACAGCCAAATTGCTGGCGAGTGAAAAGCCTTTTTCATCTTTCTACAAAGATGCCAAAGGTCCTTTGGATGCATGCACGCACAAACGCCGAAGAAGAAAAGTCTGGCCACTGTCCTTCGTTGGCTCTATTTACAGATGTGAGAAGAGAATAGGCTTGACCTACACGCTACTAAAAACTGTTCGGCTCAAGTGTTACCACAGACACTGTGTGTGTGTGCGTGCGTGAGTGTGTGTGTGTCCATGAAGTTACTTGCATCTTTTTTTTTTTTTTAATGAATACTTTGGTGTTTACTGATGAGTAGAATTAATGAGGAATTTATCAAGAGTAATTTATTCATTTTTTTTCCTTGCCTTCCCCGTGTCAAATTTTACTCTCGCGAAAAAAAAAAAAAAAAAAAGAACACTCAATAACAGTATCGGCTGTCAAGGTTTAGTGGGTGGAAAAAAATATCACCAAGAGCAGAATCATTGTTAGAATTGTGTGGCTGAAAAAGAACTTTGGAACCTCAAAATTTCAAAACATCATTTCGATAAAGATGGGCACAAATGTAAGCTTTTTTTTTTTAATCCATTTTGATTTTGACATTTTATAAACTTCAGGAAGACCTTGGAAGTCAGCAGTTACCTTACCCGCTATTACATGTTTTCCCACCCGTTCTCATTCGACCACACCTTGACAAAGAACCGTTTTGATCCAAACCTGCAATTAATATTCGCCACCATAACGCCCCATTCTTGATGAATTATTAAAGCTTTAATGTTAATACTGCACACCATCCAAGTCAAATATAAAGAAGCCATTCAAGATGAATTCTGTAATGAGAGCTTTTTCCATACACCTTTGGGTAAATAAAATGGTCACACCAAAAATCTGCATACAGTACGGACGGGTCTATGTAAAAGTCGCCACTCGTTGTTGTTTGAACGATGTTCTTTTTTAGTCAAGAACAAACCGGAGGTTATTTGCGATTTGAACCCTTTAAAACCTGAGGAAGTTTGACCTCCGACCAGAGGAACGAGGCCAGAAATTGTGATCCAGCCTCAACCCTCGAAACAATTTTGAAAATCCCATTAAGCTTGCAATTTATCTTCCGCAGCTGAAGTTTGCTTGTTTCATTGTGGCTACTTTAGGCGACTACTCCAATGGAAAATTTGACTTTTTTTTTTTTTTTTTTTTTTTAAGTATCAATTAAAAGGGTGATTTGTCATTTAGTGTGGCCTGCGACAAGAAAATTTATTGAGATCTTAAGCTTGGCTATCGTATCTCAAATGCAAATGGCCACATAGAAAATGTTTAACGGTTCAACATATTTTTTATTTTATTTTTTTAAAGGACAGTATTTAGAAGTTACTCCAAATATGTGCTATGTGCATTGAGGGGACAGAGAAGATGCGTGCTGATTATGCAAGGTAGTATTTTTTTGTTTCTGGTATGATTGATGAATAGGTTTGAATTAATGAGTTTGAAGCTTTTGTTTGTTGTTTTTTTTTTTAACCCTTTCAGGGACAGTGGTTACTACAGTGGACAGATTTTCATGTTTTCAGGTTCCATGGGTGCATGAAAGAGTTAAGATATTTTGTTTCTGTGAACACCATGTGAGAGACATTTGGGGTTTGTGTTCTTAGGCAATGTGAGAAAACAAAAGCACTTGAAAGAGGACAGTAAGAATCAACACCCAAAAGAAGAAAAAAAAATCTTACCTTTAGGACATGAAGACGTGCCTCAAAGCTATTTCCAAGCTTCTTTGGTGGTAAAGTTGGCGAGTGGAAAACGAGCACAAGAAACAAAGCCTGGCTTACATGCTGTTTGGCCATGGCAGAGCAATTGAGAAAACAAGATAAATGGCTTAAAATGACAATTTTAGCCTTGTTCTCTTCCCCCGCGGTTTGAATGGGTGGGTGACGTGTCACTTGAAAAGATGTTGCGTGAGGTAAAGTCTTTCCAAGGGAAACGGACATTACTGTAATTGACATTTCAACAAGTCATTTGGTTCAAAAATACATGTGATGGAAATTCAGACATAGTTAGGATGATCTTGCAGGAATGGGTCGCCACCAGGCAGTCTTGTGATCTTCTCCACACAACTTTTTTTTTATTTTTTTTACGATGATTTGATTTCGCCAGATATGCCGAATTAAGTACAAGCAAAGATACAGCATGAGTGAAACTTAACGCTATGCTTGCAACCTGTTTAGAACTGTTTTTAAAGTCCAGTGGAGTGCAACTTTACTTTTCAAGACCACGACATTGCAGTTCAGTTGTATTGAACTCAAAGGCGCATTTTAAGAACTTTAAAAAAATGTACTAAAGACAATTTTTATTTATTTTTAACGGTCATGTATAGTTCATTTTAAGTAAATTATTATGATTGAAGTTCATGTTGGAATTGCTTATAACAGTAAAACCCTTAATTTTGATGAACATTTGGGCCTACTACCCTACTGTATTTAATGTTCATCATTGTTGTAGTACTCAGAGAGCAAAGTAGCCTACTATATTTTGCAGTTTGAGGGCCACTGATCTATACCGAATGGACAGATAGAGATTTGTCAGTTAAATTCATAGGTTTATTAAACCAGTGATTCCCAACCTTTATTGAGCCAAGGCACATTTTTTGTGTTTGAAAAATCACAAGGCACATCACTAAACATATGTGAATTTCATACTTTTTGTCATCTAATAGAAGATCATTTATTTGTTGTTTCTGTCACTGTAAATTGCTGGAATAGATAGATGGACAAAGATATATTTGTTATTCATAAATAATTTTCTCACCGATTAAGTGACATTTGATCAGTTCCCGCGGCACACCGTTAGAGCTCTCACGGCACACTGGTTGGGAATCGCTGTAGTAAAGCATAAAAGTGAGAAAAGTCAAACACGGATACATACATTGAACTAATGTAACGTGTTTGTTTATGGCGTTTGTCGCTTCTACTGAAGTAGAAAAGTGACAGAAGTCGGTTTCGTGACGGTGAGGGCGTTTCTCTAGCACGTAATGATGTAGGTCAAAGCAGTGGCGGGAGGCTTGTCCTCCGTTGAACCCGCATGGCGTGGAGCCATATCCGCGTCCTGCAGAGGGCGCGCACGTCCAGCCCACGCCGGCCGGCGTGGACACGCATCCAGTATACCGAATGGAGATCTCGCACGCACGTCGGAGATGGCGATTGTCTGAAAGCTCACCCCATTTACCTCTCCGATGGTACTTGTTAAAGTTGTTGAAAACGTGGCTCGACTTTATTTATTTATTTATTTATTTGCAACACGTGGATCTTTTCCGCCATTACACGAACACTCGCGATGCTTCTTGTGGAGGCGAAACGGGGTTGCACGCGCGTAACCTTAGCTGACCTCTTTGTCAGGAAACGCTTTTTTCCCTTTCTTCTAAAATTTGGCGATGCTTTTGCTTAAGATCTGTATCCGTGTCTATCCAAGGCACGGTTTTCACATATGAATGATACACGGTCATTATCGAATACGAACAACCGTGCGCTTCATTATTCTGATGTGGACCACAGACACGCGTGTATGCGCGCACACACGCACACCTGTCACTGTCTAGACAGCGAGGGAGGGGGGACATTAAGGCGGAGAGGGGGCCCGGGGGGTTGGTCCCACATGACCCATTTGCTTCATTCTGTGCCAGCCAAAATCTATCTCAAGGCGTTGAAAGAAGAGAAAAAAAAATCAACAACAACAACACGAAGGGGAGAAAAAAGCAATCACTCCTCCGAATCTGATTGGCCGTGCGAACCGGCACCGTTTGTTCCCCCCTGCTCCCAAACTCGAGGTCGGCTCGGGACGTTAAAAAATAAATAAATGAGAAAATAGAAATGCGTAGAAAGTGGAAGACACGGCAGACAATCTAGCTTGTTTGGTGCTCGGTACTCGATTGGCGGGGACGTCGGCCAATGGGGAGGCGAGTTGCCGTTGTTGCGCGTGAGTGACATCATCAGCGTCCAATAGGAAGTTGAGTCGCGTGATGGACACATGCTCGACTCCTCCACCGTCCTTGTGATCTAGACGGGGGAGGAAGCGGGCGAGAGAGAGGAAGAGAGAGAGGGTAAGAGATGTGACAGTTCATTCACATTTGTGGACGTGGTTGATTCTATCAGCCTGAGTTCCTTCCCTTTCCGAGCACCAGTACACATATGTGACTGTTTCAAAGTGAGGTTTACCACCCGTGTTTACAGGGCGCCATGTCACGGCCGCGGCTTTTATTTGTAAATATTGTGGCTCCTCGGCGAGCAGGAGGCACATTACTACTACTAGTCGTAGTACTATAACAACTCCCACTGCTTGCACATAATGGAGCCTTTCTCGCTCCCCTCTCTCTCTTCCGTGGGGGGCTCGATAAGTGACGAGCAACCCAAGACGGTGCACTGTTCTCTCCCAATGGCAGCTTTAAGTGAAAAGGCGTGCCTGCAACCCCCCCACCCTTCCACCGCCCCCCACCCCCTCTCAAAGTACCCGATGTATAGTTAAAAAATGGGAGGGCACATTTGAAGCGAGCTGCTTCTATGAAGGTAGGCTGCAGCGTGTGTTTATTGATGAGATGAAAAGAAGATGGAAGTGAGAAATGAAACAAAGTGAAAGGGACACGTTAGACATCTTCTAGCTCAGACGTCGTCGTGGGGGGAGATCCATGCCACTTTTTCTAAGGGTCAGCGAGCTTCGAAGTGGAGGTAAGACATGGATTTTTTTTGTAAGTAACTAGGGGTTGGATGGATATATGCATTAGGGATTTTCCTGTATGTGTGACGGGCTCCTTGTGGAGTTTTTTTTCGGCGAGGGGAGAGCTGGCTACTTGCGTGTACTCTTTTTTTTTTTTTTTTTTTTTGGTCGTATCGCGAAGAAAATTGTGATAATTCAATAAACGTCGGACAGCAAAGCCAAAACGTCCTCCGTGCGAGGAGTGGGCTCAGTCCACGCTACTGCCGGTCTTCGATGTCCATTTATATTCGCGGATTCAAAAAAAAAAAGAAAAAAAAAAGAAAGCTGGACATGACGCAAGTTTCCCCCATCTGTCACTATTCTCAACGTGCCCACCTACCTAACATAACCCAGCCTAAGGTAACATGACCCAACCTTACGTGACCCTCTTTACTTTCTTCTCTTTTTTTCCCCCTTGTTCTTCCTTTTTTAAGCACTTCGGAACAATGCCGCGTTCAAGTGACCGTCAGCGATGCTCACATTTTAAACAGCGGAACAAGTGTGCGCGTTTTGGCTTTTAGGTCACTTTAGATTCGCTTTCTCAAGCATGGCACGCAAGCTCCCACTTCTTGTCTATGCCATATCACTTTGTGGAACTTAGCCTCGATTCCAACCGAGAACATGTCCTGCCCACATTTTTTTTTTTTTTTTACACGAATTAATATCAATAGAGCTTCTGGAGATGGTGATACACGACGACGTGCTCATCGGAGCAGATAAGGAAGCCTGGCTAATGCTCCAACAATACAGTTAAGCTTCGAATCGGTTGTGTGTGTCACAAGTTCAATTGTGCACCTTTTATTAAATGCCAGCGATATGTGAAAATGTTTTTTTGGCGGAGGTTGGCCTAGATTTGGAGCCGTGCATGCTGTGGTGTGATTAAAGTTGCAAGAGGAGCTTTTCAGTGAGCCTTAAGGGTATTTTGTTGAGAGGAGGGGGGGTCACAAGCTATTATTTTTAAAAAATATTATTACACGTAGGTGAATGTAAATATAAAGATAATTAGATGTCGTTAAATTATCGGAAGGGGCCTGAGTTGGATCAACATGTCAGTTATTACTGCTTGATATACTGATGCACGCATATGAGCCCCTGCGTGTGAGTGATTGTGTGTGTGTGTGTGTGTGTGTGTGTGTGTGTGTGTGTGTGTGTGTGTGTGTGTGTGTGTGTGTGCGTGTGTGTGTGAGGACAAGACAGAGCGTGCGAGTGTGTGACTTGCTCACAGATGTTGTCCCACTGAGCTTGTCTTGGTCAGATTCATGTAGAATGATACAGCATGTTCTTGTGTACCTTAACCGCTTCACACCATACAAGCTCCTGCACCATCCAACTTGGGCACGTTGTGGGCCAATGTCAGAGGTTGAGCCTGGTGTTGTTTCCCCAAACGAAGCAAGACCAAACACTCCTTTTGGGTCCTTCAATTTTATTTATTTTTTTGACTGTCTTGCACAATATGTTACAAGTTACAGTCCATAATGGAATGAATGGCGCATTTGTGGCTTGACACATGTGGAGGGAGACTATTGCTGCCTGATGTGGCACATGTGACATGAGATCATTCCAAATGTGATTGTATTGATCGACTGGCCAGCATGTGGGGGAGTGCAGTAAAATGTGGACGTGGGAGTCCTTTTATCTGCAAAGACGAAACTCAACACCTGTATTTTTGTACATTTTATTGTTTGATGAATTGAAGAGTACTTGTGTGTGTGCGTGTGTGCAAGTGTGTGTGCGAGCTCTCACCACAGCTTGATGTCCAAAAGTGATTTCATCACCCCAGAGGAGGCGAGATAAGGCCTCAGTGTGACATGTTTCATCTCGGTGGAATCACTATTTATTTATATGCATATATTCCGTGTGTACATTAATATGCACAGTGTTTGTGCATCACCGTGCGTCCGCTTTTTGTGTCACTGCTTAAAATCCCACCCATGACTAATGAATATTTAAGAGCATGTCTGCAGACCAAGGAAGCTCATTATTATATGAAGGAGAAACTGTAGAGCAAGGTGTGTGCGTGTGTGTGTGTGTGCGTGTGTGTGTGTGTGTGTGTGTGTGTGTGTGTGTGTGTGTTTATGAGCGCACGTGTGTGAAGAGGGTGCTAATCCACACCCAGCAATCAATCCCAATTTTCTTTTGGTGTCACCATTCTTCTGTCGTGCTCTAGCTTGTCAACAATTCACATCCTCAAATGTATTTTTTTTAACACAGAAAGAAATCCTTCAATCAAGTCACACATTTAATATTGCAAATAGTCTTACAGATGTGTCTAGTATATTTCATAGTGATGCGTTACCACCCCCCCCCCCCAAAAAAAAGTGTTTTTATTGTTCATCCATACAGGTGCCAGGTCAGTATTCCAAATAATGTTAATTCACTGTGGTCCCAATTGAGGTCCCTGCAGCGTTCCCTTTCTGTATTTTTTTTTCTTTTGCAAACAGCCTTTTTACCAGCAAATATTTTCAAGACTAACGAGAGGGTGGCCAGGATGGATATATATATATATATATATATATATATATATGTATATATATGTATATATATGTATATATATATATATATAAATTTTGCTGAGAAAAATGTACATACGCCACGCATTTCAAGTACACAATGTTATGAAGTAATGTGTGTGCAAAAGAAAATTCTAATAATAGTCGACCTTTAATCAAGTCAGGCTCGAGAGTCCATCCTGGCTCTATTATATTCGTATATTCATTTTGGCAATGCAATTTCAATTTGCTGTTGAAACAAATGAAACACACCGAAACTCATTTGTTGTCCCTTCCTTGAGTCTTTAGCAGCCACTTTTTTTTTTCTTCCTTTCCACTCCACATGTTGCATGGTAGAAGAGCTTCTCAAGCTCGAGGAAAACGAATCTTTTGGTTGAGCTGCAATATTGTTGCACTTTACAAGGCAGGGAACCATATTTGGTAACGTTAGCTCAAGGCAAAACGGATGTCAACCGAACTCACCGTCAGGCAGTTGAACGACAGTCTGTGAAAATGACACATTATATGTATTATTTCTGCAAATATTGTCATTTTTTTTATACTCATCACAATATTGTCAAGCAGAAAATAAAAGAAAATACACAAATGTCTACAAATACAGTACACCAGAATAATTTTCCGGGCAAATTTCCAAACACACACACACACACACACACACACATATATATATATGGATACTTTTTTTTTTTTTTTTAGTTTGTATGTTTGTATGTACACAGTGCTTAAATTAATCAGCCCACCACTCAATGTATAGTTAGTCGCAGTTGCCCAAAATAAACAGAATAAGTAATTACCAACGATTTGTATATTTTGGCAGTCGTAAAGCCACCACCTTGGAGAAGCTGATTAATCGACAGGATACTTTTAGTGCCCAAATGATGGTGAACCGCGCATTTTCAAATGTGCTGTTTTATAAAACAACTGGGGAAAAAAAAATAGCAAAACGTGATTATTTCTTATGATGTCAAGTTATAGGTTGAATAGATGAACAGGCGGAAAAAAAATCATTTTGTGATTGAATGTTAATTTTTTTTTTTTTAAATAATAACAGAAACACGTGGCGGCAGCTGGTATTATTCAGCTCAACACATTATTTGTACATAGATTAAAAAAAAAAAAATGAAGTGACTGCATAAAAGCGATAATCCTCCTAAATATTGGGCCAAATGCGAATGTTCGCAAAGGAGAAATAATTTGGTGGATCGCTGCCATCGCACAGCACCCTATTTTAGCCGCAACAAAAACAACTTGTCCCATACGAGTAACACAACGGGAAAATGTGCTGCTGTTGCATGTAATTAATGAGAGTTGTCTCCTGCGCAAGCTCTCGCTGCTTTCATCCAACTGAAAAATGCTGCTACATGAATTTTGGTGATTTTCCTCGCAGCTGCAAGACAAGGAAAAGAAACTCATTTGGTTTTGGCAAGGAAGGGGGGGGGGACCTGCGGGGGAATGGTGAACTTTTGTAATGTGGTGAATTTTCTTTTTCAATCAAGGTCAAACGTGGAATAACTAAATATTTCCATCCAGTTTTATGCATCCATGGGACTTGGATTGAACTTTCATCATCACTACTTTCTTTAAATTTGGCAGGCTGAGATGCTCCCGGTGTTTTTAGGAAATATGTTGTCGGTTCTCAAAATTGGCCGAATTGGCGTCACACAATTCAGAACCCCTCCCAGTCTTTTGACTTCCAGAGCAAAAATGTCAGGCGCAAAACTTGGAAGGCATTTTTTTCTCGGTTTCTCTGAAGACTTTCGCTTTGGAATCTCTGCTCCCTGCCAGTATCACAGGAATGCATAATGAAAGCACACATCGAGGCCCAATTTGTGAACGTTGTTGTCAGCGGGCTTTTGTTCCCATGCAATACAGCCCAAATGTCAGTCTCACGAAGCACAATGTCATTTCCGTCGTTTGCCCCTGATCAGAAATACAGCGTTTCTCAGATTGTATTGTTTGATATCGGCTACGCGGGGAATACAAAGCAAACATTCCAACGCGGGGACGGGATGTCGACACGTTCTGCGTTTCTGCTCATGCTTACTGTACAGAGAGTGTAAAGTTACACCACCTCAAAACCCTCAGAGTCTATAAGGGCTGTCTGTGGCGTGATTGCGAATGACCAAGACAAGACAGTAGAAACATTACAGAGAAACACTAAGCTAGTGCTATCTATCTATCTATCTATCTATCTATAGATAGATTTTTTAATTTTTTTTTTCCAGCACAGCAGTCAGTCCTGTTTTGAGCTTTCATGCCAAAATTGTTTCTGTAGTTCCGTAGGGTTTTTTTGCTTCCTTGTCGAATCATGCACACAGTAAATCATATTCAGGAAATGACAGCGTTGTCGATCCGATTCTATTGAATCGTGGCAGCGTGCGTTCCCATTACCTTGACTCCACCGCCATGATTCTCTTTGCATGTGTCGCTTCCTCCACCCCCCACCCACAAGTCTCTTCTGTTTGCTATAAAAATAAAAGCATGTCCAAAAAAAACAAAAAAACTTTTTCAAGCATCCACAAGTTAAAGGGTCTTTTATAACACAGAGCTCTGTTCGAGCGTTGAAATGTGTGTTGTAAACTTTGCGGGGGAAAAAAAAAAAAGTTAATTTGTGCTTGCGTGTGCGCGTGAAAGACACACGCATTGAAACCTATTTTGCATTCTGTTGCTTTGAACACACAAGCAGGTCTTGGCATTCAAATCATGTGAAAAATGTATCCTGGATTCTAATAGTGAAGACATGCGTTTGCCAAGAGGCATGTGTGTCCTCAGTTCACCCTGTTACCCATATGGTTCGCTACAAGTCATGGTGAGCTGGGCCTCGCTGCATGGGAAAAGAATTGAAGCAGA